AACTCCGGGAGGCAGCGGAAGACAGGAGGGCCTGGTGTGCTCTGGCCCATGGGGTCACGAAGAGCCAGACATGACTTAACAACTAAACAACAACAACAAGCAACTTGAAATGGATTTATTTGACTGGCTAAACATTATCCAATATATTGTGTGGTGTAATGGATAAGATCATGGACTGTAACTCAGGAGACCTGAGTTCAAATCCCTGCTCAGCCATGGGTGTGTGTGGAACTGGTAAAACCATTCTTTAAATTTCTCACTTGCCTTGCAAGCATCTTAGGGTCCCTGTAAAACACTTCTGACTTAATGGCACATAATATAACAAATATTATCCTCCTCCTGAGAAGGTCAGAGATGAGAGCTTTGAAAAAGTCACTTTTTGAACGACAGCCCCCAGACTCCTCTAAACAGCATAGCAGCATGGTCCCCAAAAAAGTAACTTTTCACAGCTCAGCTGAGTCACACCCTTGACCTGATCGGTGGCATGTTGCTGTTGTGGGGATCAAATGGGGATTAGGAGAAACAAGCGTGCCATGATTAGGTCACCGGAGGAACGGCAGAATATCAGTGTGAAGAAAAAGACAAAATTATGTCTTGGCCTGGTTGCCTCAACAGAAGAACCTTCACGACAACCATTACTCCATTGTTAGGGGTGGATTTGTCATGGAAACCGGAGGACACTTAACAAAATTAAGGGCCTGAACAAGAACAGAAGTGCACTCTTGAAGTGCAGCAAGATCCTCTGGATTCAGCAGTTCTGGTAAGAATCCCAGGAACCTGCCATTGTTAATTAGAAGGCCTACTAGAAATGGAGCCACCTCCTTACTGAAGGAAACCACAATCCACATCCTGCCCAGCCCTGCTCTAGTGAAGCAAACGTTTGGCATCCTGAGGCAGAGACACTGACCCTTTCCCTCCAGAGTTCAGAAACTGGGTAGACTGCAAGCACTGGGAGAGCATGTTTCCTCATACTTGAGGGTAGCAACCAGTTCCAAAGGTGGGCAGTAAGACTGTGTGGCACATGTAGTGCTGCCTGTCAAGAGAAGAGGTGTGGCTGACGAGAAGCACCGACGGGAGCCGCCCTCTACCTATGACGCCCGAGGTAGTTGCCTCACTTTGTCGAATGGTAGGGCCAACTTTGCTTGCTCCAGATGATAACGACCATCCCCATCCCTGTAACAAGCAGGTCTGGTTACACTGCTCCACTTCCACATTGCTAGATGGGAAAATGCAATCGGGGAAGGAAAAGGAAGACTGGTTATATTACAACTGCAGGGGCTGCCTATTTATTCCTCTATCACAGTCATTTCAGAACCCCACCTATAGCCTCCCTCAGCACGTTGGTTTCCACCAGAAGGTCAAGCATTGTCTTCCTGGGTTTGTCTCAAGGATAACGCTTTTGCTTTTCATAAGCGTTTCCTTTCGGTGCCCTCGCTGGGGTGGCTTCAACCCACAAGGGACTTTGCTTTCAGCCCTGAACCTAGAAGCTGGAGATGAGAGGTGGCTTCCACTTCCTGCAAGAACAATGCTCTGTCTTCTGGGCTCCCTCCTTAAGGGCCATCTGGCTTCCTTATCTCTCTCTCCCTGCCTTAAGGAGACTCCCTGGGCTGGCCAAGCAGACAATTTGTGTGTGGGCACAATGCAGGCAGTTTGCGTTTAGGCAGTTACTGGAAACAATACCTCCCTCCTCGTCACCAACAGACGTTGGAGCCATTGCTCCACAATCGCCAGCCATTGGCCAAGCTTAGATTCTGGAACTAATCATAAAATGGCAATCTTTTAGACAACTCCTATCCCGGGAAACATTCTCTCTCTCTCTCTCTCTCTCTCTCTCACACACACACACACACACACAGAGGACCCAAGGCAGCTTACATTATTAAAAGACAAGATGTATAACTAAGAACTGTAAATATACCAGTACTAAAAGGATCAAACAAACACCACACTAGAAATGGTAAACAAAAGCTTCACCAAAACACATTCAGAGCAGTAAAGCACAACAATCCATTTGAAAAGCCCCTCTCAGGCAGCCAGTCACACACTCAGGGAAAGCCTCCCTGAACAGAATGGTCTTCACCTGCTTGCGGAAGGGCAGCCAAGATGGGGCCAAACCTGGACTCCAGTGGGAGGGAGTTCCAAAGTCTGGGAGCACCAACAGAGAAGGCCCTCTCCTGTGTCCCCATCAGACGCACCTGTGAAGGTGGCAGGACTGTAAGAAAGGCCTCTCCTGATGCCGTCCTCGCTCCATTTTATCTTCATAAGAACCCTCTGAGGTTTGTTCCTTTGTTTATTAATTGCATTTATACTTCACCTTTCCTCTAGTGAGTTCAAGGAAACGTGCATGGCTCTCTTTCCCTCCTTGATCCTCAGAACAACCTATGAGATAGGCTGAGAGACTGTTGTGACCTGCCAAGGCCACCCACCCAGCAGGTTTCATGATTATGTGAGGATCTAAACTCAGGTCTCCTGAGTCGCAAGCCCTTTTCTCTACTAGAACGCCAAGCACTATCACCCAGATTGTACTTGTCTTCAGTGTGGAAGGGACTGTCACTCTCGAATTGGTCTCCTCAGCCACACTAGACACTGTTCCAAGACCTCCATACAGAGCATGTTACCATAGTCTCTCGAGACTTGAAGGATGCCTACATGGATCACCCAGAGGCAGGGGCAAAATGGCACTGGAATCCTATTGGCATTTGCATAAGGTTTGTGTACCTACGGCAAATTGCAGTTTATTGATTACGTATCTTGTTATGCACCCAAACATGCAGCTGAGATGTGCTTTGGCACACCATCAAATGGGCACAGTCAGTTATGCGACTCTTACATCAATAGAATCTTGACCAGTGGCTTCACAAGGTGCCCGAGTTACTTATTTTGCAGGCCAGGGTGCCTCTGAGTATATACTCCACCCGAGAACTTGTCTTCAGCACAAGAAATGGAGTTCCCACACAAACCCTTTCAAGCAGAAGTCTATTCCTCTTTTCCCCTTATGCTTTCTTGACTGTTAAGAGGGGAAATTTGCTATTGTTAAACCCCTGGGCATCCAGAATTTCAGCTGAGCTATATATATAAACCCACCCACCAGTAGATCCTATTGCATGGGGACTTCAATATGTGTTTCCCCAGTTAATGGCCGGCTGTCTTTTAAGGGTCCCACACAAGCGTCCAGGAAGAGGACTGTAAGAATGCAACTGATAAATGTCCCAAGTTAGCCTGGAAGGTGAAACAAAATAACTGAAACATCAAGAGCATAACAAAATAGCAAATTTAAGAAAAAGAATCGGGGGAAGTGATTAAAATAAACTGATAAAAAATCCTAACTATCAAGAGATCTACTTTTATCTTGAGGTGGAAAAGGGCTGCCTGAGATATAAGCTTCATATACTTTTGACTGTGCATTAATCAGTCATGGCTGTTTTCATACTTTACATACAACTAAAGGAAACAAACAAGTTTGTTATTGTCGTTTTTCAACTGCATATGTCTATAAATTCACTCTGAGTGGCAAGTCCCATTTTACAGATGAGTCTGAGATGGTTACAGCTTGGTGGCAGCTTATCAAAGGCTATCATCATCGTCATCATCATTTATTGTTGTCATGAGCATTTGAGACTCTTTCAACTTATGGCAACCGTAACATGGGTCTTGAGGTATGTGAGACAATGAAGGAAGGATCTACATGATAAATTTCCATGTCAGAGCAAGGATTTCAACTCAGGTCTCTTGGGATGTCATCTACTACACCACGTTGGCTCTTTATTTATTAGTTACATTTATGTTCTGCTTTCCCTTTAATGAGCTCA